TAATAATTAAAAAACTTTATAAGCTTATTATAATAGTAATCCTCATACTTTAATAATATATTGTCAATGATTTAAACTAAAAAATATTTTATTTAAGTAAAAAAAAAAAAAAGCGTTTTCATATTATATTATTACGTATATGGTCGTTCAAAAATCCACTTGAACTGTGTTTTAATTGTACTTTAAGTTAATACAAATCGCATCGCATTTATTAACGCTTGATTGCTTAACACGATTTTCAATTGATCGTTTTTAACTCTACAATATATATATATATTGAATGTAGATTAATTCAACTTAGGAATGTAATAAATTTAAGTGCAAAATTGTTCACGTACATTATATTATTTGTGTCAAATTGTACGTTTTAAAAATGATAGAAACTATACACAGATGGTTTAACTGCACGGTACAAAACACGGTAACCGTACTTCTGAAACGTATCACTTCGCGTTCTTTGTGCACTAAATAAGCACTCGCGTAATTCAGTCAAACGTTCATAATAATATAGGCACTATTCCTTATCCGATCGACTGCAATTATTTACAGCTTATGTATTTCGTTTTTTTTATCCACAGAGTACATATTTCTAATGTTACACACTGCTCACAACGATAACAATAATAATGAACACTGCGCATTCGGCAAAACACCACTTGTCGTCCAAATAACAATAATAATATTATTATCAATCGATCCCCCCCCGCGACTGTACCGCGCTGTTGTCATAGTTAAATTTTCCTTTGATCGTGCAAAAGCCGCCCAGCACAGCACAAGCGCGTTTTGTAAGTTTTACACTATACCCTTAACGTGTGCAACTCGGTCGAACTCAAAAATGGTTAGAAAATAATACAAAAAAAATTTATTTCGCATATAGATCCGATCTCACGTAATATTATAATATATAATAGTAGTGTGTATGTCATCCGTGTTTTTTTTCACGCACCTGCGGTGCAAATTATTATTATTATTATCATATTCGTTTTTAACATTGAATTCTAGATCAAACGAATATTGTATATTATGAAATTACAATAATACATTGTATTAGAAAACAGTGTTAATGTCGCCAACATTTCGCGAACACATTGCGGTAGCCTTGATAAGCAGGAACCCGAGTTTCATGTACAACGAAGAATTGTATTACATTTATTTTATAATGCAGCGGAAAAGATCTAATAACAAATAATAATAATCTCGATATACATATTACAATTAGTTCATACAAGGAAAAACGTGAGCCTGTGTTTGTAGAATGAGGGAGGTTGACCACGGGAGCATTTAAAGGGAAGTTAGAACGAACATTGATTATGATGTACGAAAATTAATAATAAATCGAAGACTCGTAATCGTAACTTTTCACGGTGGAATGCGAATTTTGTTTCTATATTTTAAGTTTTCATGGAGAATACATCATCGGTGTTAATAGGTATTTGATGTGAAACTTCTGTATGCATTTCTGTATGGCCATAAGATAAGATTTACCGTTGAATCGGTGATACGAATTTCTTGCTTCTCTTCCTAACTAACACGAAAAAATAAAGAAAATAAATTTTGATATTTGATATAAAAAAAAAATATATATGTATATATAAAAAAATTTAACTCCATTAACGATTACCATTGTAATTTTTTGATGAAATGTAATACCACTTAATGTAATCCAACCGCAATACCGAGTTAATTATTCTTTTTAAAAATAAAATAAAACTCTATTGCTACTTTTTGAAAAAATTACTATCCCATTCTTCTCCGAATCATCTACTACAAGTTATAAATTATTTTTATGTATTGATTAATATTAACTTTTTTAATTGATTACACTTCAAAACATGGGATTATGTATGTATTATAATGAATTTAAAGAAAAAAAGTTGTAATTTCCAATTTATTATTAATGCACAGTGAGATAATGAAATTTATATTTTTTGAGTAAATTTACATTACATTTTATTTATTATACATACATAGGTGATAATGTGATACAACATTATTTTGTCAAAAAATAATAAACAGCTAACAAGTAATACATTATAATAAATTACTAAAGTCAGTGTTCATGAATAATATAATATAAAACAATTAAAATATTATAAACAATATTATTTTTTTAAAACTGTATAAATTCAAATTATTATAGTATATTATAAACTCTGTAGATGGTAATTACTATTTATAGTGTCAAAAAGACGAAATGAATTTAAGTTCTAATAATTTAGAAAATTATGCTCCTTTGGTAATTACTCGTTTAGTTGAAAATTTATTTTGCTTTTGTGTACACGTTTGTTTTACGTTTAACGTCCAAAATATTAAGTTATTCCAAACTTCAGTAATTTATCAACAATTTCACACGCATCTAATCACCTCTATTTTGCAAGACATTCAAAACTTTGTATCCGTTGTTTGTATTAAATAACGCTTAACTTACTGTTTCTGCTCGTTTAATAATATTTATTCCAATTAACTAAATTATAGTGTAGGAGAAATGATTTAATTTACAATTTTTTTTTCTTTTCAATCAAAATTTAATTCACTCCGGAGAAAATATTAACTTAATTAAACCTAGTTCAGTCTATAAACTTAAATTGCTAGTTTTCTTTTAAGATATTTAATAAATTACAAGAAACAATGGATAATAAACAGGAATTGAGTTTTTTTTTTTTTTTTTAATTGTTTGTGTATAAAATAATAGTTTTCGATTACCATTTATCTTAGTTGTACAGTCATAAAGCCATTCAATCGAACTTTTATTGACTATGTACATGAATTTATATGTTAATTTTTAAACTTAATCACGTGCATTTTGAAAATAAAATTGTCTTCTTAAATAATTAATTAAATTTATTAAAATGTTCATTTTTTCCAATACACGTTTAAGTCAGTTAAATTGTATAGTTATATCATTAATATTAATTTAATCTCAATGAAAAACAAATTTAAATATATCAACATTGCTATTTTATTAGTACCTATTTGATTAATTTTATTTGTTAATGTTACTATTATTATTATTATTATTATTTTTTTTTATTGCTGTTATGGTTGTTATTATTATTATATTTTTAAATCGATTTATCTACCCAGAAAGTACTAGCTTAACGATTGAAATCTTATAATATTTGAAAAACAGAATTATTGTCTGATTTATATTTCCTTCACCTAATCGAATCTTATCCGGATGAAAACAGCAAATACTGTTTAATATCCGCAAAGGTATCTTAATTGCTCTCGCAGATTATTATTTACCGGCAACATGATTTCCGTAGCCTCTGGCCACAAACCACGTAAGTACGCGTCTGTACAACACTACTGCTGGCACTATTCAGTACATGCACACTCGCTAACGGTATACGTTTGGAAACGAAGTCGCTTAATTTACGCACTTACTACAATCTTAAAGCGTGTGAGTACTACACGCAGGGTCGAAGCTTTCGGGGAAACAAGCCAAATCGAATTTAACTATCGAATAATTGACATTTGTTTACCATGTACCACAATAATTAAACAATTCCGTAAATGCGCATTAGTTCGTTTAGTGTACTCGACGGACGATGCACTCACTGTTTTAAATGATTAACGAGATCGCGTATATAATGTACGGGACTACGTTACTACGTCACGTAACGTGAACGTTTTCAGTTCCGGATCGGTTTATGTTTTTGACCAGCAATAGTCAACAGCTGAAATCTAAATAGACGAAGACTTTTGATGTGATTGATATATCTCATGATATTATAGTAACATATATGTATCGGTACACACGTACGAACGTTGTATTATATTATTTAATTTGTTACATTTCCGTATTTACATATCTTATATTTTATTTAAATGTGTATCTGTGTTATCTGCGATGCGATGTCGAGAAATAAATGTTTGCATGTCTGCAGTGCAGGTTAATGTCGCTTAACTCGTACATTTATACGACACGTTTTTGTAATTTAATTCCGTTTCCTTATATGTGCATATCTCATGTTATAAAATCAATTTAAACGCTTTAATTTATATATCATCATCATGTTATAATTATAACAGTTGTTTAGTTATTTTATGTTGAATAGTACAATTATTGTTTATGAGTTGATTGAAAATCGCTAGCTATGCGCGGAGAAGTTCCATATTATTGATAAATGCTAAAGGTCAAAAAAAAAAAAATAATTAAAAATAAACGGAAAAAAACCATCCATAAAACAATGGATGGCCGTACTCGAAAAAAAATGATTTATCGTTATGATATTGCTATATACAATATATTTATAAGCTAATAGACGGCGAGAAAACAAAGAAAACAAACGGAAATAATTTCTGAAAACAATCAATCGTGCTGTTAAAAGAATGTATTCTCGGTGGTCAACTATTTTAACTGCATCGCATACTTACCTAGTATAAGCATATCATATTATATTTGTATTAAGTATTTTGGACGAACATAACTATATCTTATTACTATCACCCAGTTTTTTTTCATGACATTCGATCGTTTTCGCGCGCGCGTCTTGGAGATGTAAGCTGAGAGGTCTAAAACCCCCGTCCCAAAATATCTGGTAATAATAAATCATTCTTAACCTTATACGATATAAATACATAGGTGCTGTACACTGTTTTCGTAACTAATCATTATCGTAAGACTTTTTTTCATTATTATTATTATTATTATTTTTTTTATACTCATCTCGCTTTTATTATGGGTTTATTTTTGTACGTGCTATGTAAACAAAGCAGGAAAAAATTCTGGACTCGTCAGCGGGGTGTGGGTGTGTGTGCTTTTTCATAGTATTGGTACAAAGACAGTTTACCGTAAGCGACATTATAATTAGGATGCTCGTCGAGAAATCACATGGGGAGAGCAAGGATGTTCAAAGGATGTTGGTGACGACGACGAAACAAACATAACCTACTCGTATCTTCGTTTGATACGATGTATGCTCGACGAAATCCGTTCCGGCCGAGAATCAACAAATTAATATTAATCATAAGTTCAGATTTTTTCAAATTTCTACCTGTAAAACGTAATGTTACACCGGTGCGCGCGACTTCTGCTTTTTCTTTCTGCTTTTTTTCCCCCGTTTTCTGCTCAGCGGCACGAGTCATACGACGTGAACATTTACGTACGGAAACACCGACGATACGGACGGGGACCGCACACGCGCACCCGCTCCGGAAGGGACGAACGAACCCGCACGACGTTCACTGATTTGCGGCGGTACGCGTTGAGCAACTAGTCGGTTTTTCGGCGGCGTCGGAGGCGATCCCTCGGAGCGCACCGCGACGACGGCGGCGGCGGCGACGATATAGCGCACGGCGTGGGCGTGACGCTTGCGCTTAAAGAATCCTTTTTTTCGTGTGTTTTTTTTTCTTTTTGTTATTATTATTTTTTTTCCTTTTGTCCACACACCCTTTGCCTTTCACGTCGGCGGCGATGCCCCGTTATCGCCCACCTCAATACCCTACCCTTCCCTGCGCAGGGTTCCCGTCGTTATACATACAGCTCTGACCCGAACCCACTGCCCTTACTTTCCCCGTAACCCGGTCATCGCGGCGGTGTACGATAAGAATATCATTCTTTTGTCTCGGATTTTATGGAGGGGGGGGGTTAACATTTTCATTCCTCTACCGTACCGTGTCGTTTTGTTTCTCCGAAGGGAAGTTTATACGTATACGGCAGGGGCCACTATTATGCGGCGTCTGATATGCTAGGGGATGATATAATATCCTTTTTCCGGATATATTCCCCAAAGGATAAAAATCGTTTCATCCCCGTCGCCGTGCGGAGTCGAGAAAACGATATTTTAACCTGTTCGTCGGCTGAAAAAGAGTAAGACGTTACGAACGTTATAGTCTATCAAAACAAATGACTGATTGGTCTTGAGCTTTGCGCATCATTAACCGAAATCACCGTGCCATCATCCTTGATCCTTCACGAACATTTTCCAGTTATAAGCCAGATCGGCTTGAATACTAAATATGCTAGAACAAGCCATTAAACAGAATCACGAGAAGAGCCAATGAGGACGTATCAAATTTAATAACTGTATAAAAATATTTTTTGCGCACGCCAAAATCTTGCATGTTTGCCTACCTACCCATTACGCTGTTTTGGGCTCGTCGCGTATTGTTACAAGAAATAAACGAATACATTTGCGTCGATAATATATAGATATTATCGACGCAAATGTATTCATAAATAAATGAATACATATTTGTCGTTTCTACACATATACATAATGTCAACCGCTCGTTCCGCGGTGCTTCGTATAAGTCATGCTGCAGGTGTCAGTAACGCGCCGAAAACAGAATCGGTGAGGGTTTATCCTACCCCGACCCTTCATCGCGCATCCCTTGTACTCGATCCCCGGTGGCGTTTATTTATATCTAATCTATTGTTATTATTATATACGAACGTTATAATAAATTACCTGAATACATTATATATATGTGTGTACAGGTGAACGCAGTTCGGTCGCGACCACAAGCCCGACCGCCGCCGCCGCTACTCCGTTTGCCTATTGCAACGTGAAACAACGTCACGTCGTAAACACCGCTAATCGGCTTCATGATACAACCGACGATACGGGCGCTGAACGCAACACATTATACCGTTGTCGCCGTATCTAAATATAATATTACGACCGATATTATAGCACAATACATATTTTAATACGTTACGAATTTTTTCCCCGTCACACCATTACGTTCTTACCGTTTTCAACCATCGCCCTGAGCGTTTTGTTTTTCGATTTTTTTTCTCCTGTCTGCATGACGTTCCGAGGTATTTTTATTTTTTTTTTTAACCGAAATCATTCGTTTCCTCATCTCGTCCCGATGTCACGCCGCTGACACTCATTCCGGCCCGTAAGTGTTTCAAACTCGAAAAAAAGTAGTAATAATATGAATAACGAATTGTACATGGTTGCGTTTTCAGTAATTCAATTACAAAGAAAACAAAAAATAACACTTATTCTTCATTTCTTCCCACTTAACGCAGTATGGGTACTGCAGTTGTAAAGCGGATTCAAGATCTAGAAGTTTTTTTTTATTGTTTTTACCTAGTTAGGTTAGGTTAGGTTCTCTTTCTACGTGTTTGAATTTAAGAAATATTGATAATTTATCATATTATATGGTACTAGTTGAATTACCCGGTTTTGCCTGTGTTTAGTTTTTAAATTAAATTCTTAAATCGACATACATTGTTGTGTTTTAAAGAAAAAAAATATTTTACATAATTTAATCAAGTGATAAATATTAGTAGTAGCTGAATTATAAATACAAAATAATGATAATAAAAATATTTACAAATGATTCTAATTATTCTATACACATATTATTATTGTTAAAAATGATTCTATGATCATAATTATATACATCGGCGTCCGACGGATCGTAACACGTTTGAGTGTTCGCATATCGATAACCACTCTTTAGAGTTTTATTACTTTTCACTAACTTAATTTATATAATTGAGCTTATCGTGTTATAAAGATAGAGTGATCGGTGTTATACAACTCTTATAATATTAAAACTATTATATTAATTTGTAGTTTATAATTTCGACTTGGGTTTATTTACAACAGAGTATGTACACGACTAAACCAAACTGACAAATAAAATAAAATTATGAATAATAGATCACTCTTAGGAATAGTATTTGGTTCAACTTTGTGAAAAAAGTCGTTAAATTATTTAAATGACACGCCAAAAACCGTAACCTTTAAATAAAATTCCCACCTCTCACACCCGTCAGATAAATAAAATGAATAATCTGGTGACGTGGTGATACTTGAAGGAGAATATTTGGAACTCTATAAATAATAATTGGAAAAAACGTTAAATAGTGTCGTCACAAAATTGAAACACAAAAAATGCTTGTTATTTTATACATATAAGGATAAGATGCTAGAAAAAAAAATCTTTATGGGCCCGTGAAACTGGGTATTGGACTTTGACTCACTTCACATTGTAAGCCAGTGTAGTATTATTATTAGGTGTTACTCATAATAAATCATGGTATTAAAAAAACAACGATACCGATAGGTAATCGATTTACTCCGGTGCTTATAGGTTGTTAAAATGCTCATAAAAAAATGTTACAAGTTAAGATTTTGCACACGTATTCGATCTCTAATAAATAAATACTAGAGTAACATTGTGTTTAAGTGTCTAATATTTATATTGCTTAGGAAGGAAAAATGGAAAAATCTCAACCATCGGCATTTGCAGATCCGAATATTATTTTTTCATTAATAAATACATATGAAAAGTTTTATTAAATTTTGAAAACCTTTTGTCAAATTAAAATTATTTTATCGATATTTAAAATAAAAATTAAAGAAAATATATTTCCGACTATCAAAAAATAGTTCAAAGGAATTTATTGAAAATTGTACTAATTATAGCGAGTAATAATATAAGCATTCAGTAAATATTTTAACCTTCTACTGTTATTATTTTTAAGTTATGATGAAAATAAAAATTTGGTTTGGCGAAAACCGAAATGCCGTAAATGTTGACATTTTTATATAACTTTCCGTCAGTTTTTTGTAATTATTGAAAAAAAACGTCTCAAGAAATTCGTAAAATAACCGCCTTCAAAGTATCAACTAGATACATTTTTCCATCAGATATCTCTTATGATAGTTAAGAGCAATCCTTCTAGTCAATTAGTCAATACCATGAACATAGACTCAAAAAAAAAAAAAAACCTCAATCTAAAACCTATATAGGTTTTAACCTATTCCTCATTCAGAATTTAACATACAAATCTTATACTAAGAAAAAAAAAATAAGTCAATGAATGTTTTATAATAAAACAAATAAAAGATAATTAGATTAAAAAAATATCTTAAACTGCGCATAGAACAATAATTACAATAAAACAGGTTAAAGACAAAATATTTTATTTCAACCGATTACGAGAGAAAAACGATGGTGAGATTCGCTTTGTCAGCACTCAGCATGCATCATCCAATGTGTATCTCGTTTATAGCTATTGCGGTTAGTAGCTTCATTAACACACGCCCACGGACCGAAAGCATGGCACCGCAGGTAACATTCAAAATGTAAAAGGTACACATCGTTTTTCTTATGACTATCAGTAATGCGACACAAAACCGATTGACTTTGCACCAGTGACGATACATATTACAAAGTAGCGGTGGGAAGAATACGCTCGGTCTAAACCGAATGACAAAATCCAAGAAGATCCACCATGGGCTATCGACACAGCCCACCGAAAAGGGATTGCGCTCAGTTTACAATGGAGTCGTATATGTAATGTTTTGAAATATATTACGGTATTGTTGACCTCTGAGAAATGCCGAACGTGCTTTTAAGATTATAATATAAAGCACGTTTGAAATAAAGTCACGGAATATCATTATATTAAGATTAAATACAATGTTGTTAGTTTCAAACTGTCGTACGCTTGAATTTAAAGGTCATTTTGAACATCGATGAAAAAAAATATCATAATAATATCATTAGCAGAGATCATTTTTATTTATTTTTTTTTTTTTATCACGCTTTGACAAGAATTTAGTTACTATTCCATTCGAATGACTAAAAAATTTGTTGTTCAACATTGCTGTTCTACTATCGAGATTTTCACTAATTTACTTTTTCAAATTTTTAAAATAAAAAGTAACCAGTTTTAATGAAATAATAATGTACACGAAATAAAATTAAAACCAAAATGTACTAGTTAAATAATTAATGGTGGTGACCACCAGCAAGAGTAAATTTACTAACGTTTACGTATACAATTTTGATCCCATAATGAAAACCCTGCCGGATTCATCATATAGAATGAACAATAATTGGATTTAACTTTGACGTGTTTCCGGAAATATATATTTCACGAGGACTAAATGGTGTTATTACCTACTCGGGAATATTCTTTTATGAAAATTTACCAAAGGTTACTATTATTAAATATTACTGCTATTGCTCCGTTTTATATAAAAAAAATATATTATGGGACTATGTGCACCTATTATTCCTGGCGACAAATCAAGTTGTTTTTACGATTCACCTATCGCTCGCCTCCCTCTCATAACCGTCACTGAGAAAATACGATACGTGGTATCTTATTATTATTATTCTGACACAATAAAATCATCTGTTCAACTGTTATAGTTCGGAATGAAAGTTCGGAGGCAACGAATATGCAGCCATATGCGATAAAAATCTGACCGAATAATATTTGATT